CATCAGAAATAAAAGTTATACTAGTAATGTTATAAACCTACTTACTTATACCTAATATTAGGTAGGTACTTACATTCAAATCGAAACCGCTAGTAATCCACGATCGTTTCCGAAGCACACTGTATTTTCTCCTGCATTTTGTCAAAAATCCATCACTTTTATGTTTAGAACGACGAGTCACTACGTAACGATCCATTCTGATTTCACTCAGCAATCAGTTTATCACCTAAAAGAAAAACATCCGCAAGCACCGCACTCACTACCAAACACGTTGGGCCCTGCCCACTAACGTCTTACAACTAAAACATAGAAAACAAACCAACTACCTACCAAAACATTTTAATAAAGTTATTTAAATTAAACGAACCGAATACAATTTAATTACTTCAAAACTCTTGAATAAATAACCAAGGAGGCCGTTACGGTTGCGTCTCAAGTAAACATTAGAAAGTTTATGAAAACAACTAAATTCGTAATTGGAACGCAGAAAATTTAAAAATAAAGTTTTCGCGCCGACCGGCTGTGGACTGTGGAGGGAAGCGTCGTCCTTTGGCTGAACATACGCGGTTAATAATATCGTTCGGTGCACAATTGTCGCCTTATTCGTGTTACGGTATGTTGGAACGAATACGGGTGCGTGATTCGAATGCTTTGCTCATAGATTTTGATTGTCCCTCCCATACAAAACGGACAATAGGTACTCGATATGCGCCGCCACAGCCCGTCCTCAACGCTGTTTTGTTAGTAGGTAATTTTTCTAACCCAAATACCTGATCAAGGACGTCTCGTGTGGGAACGGTATCATAAGTGAATTAAATGCCGAATTTAGGCCGCGCCCTCATTCGATACTTCGTTTATAATTCAGGTCGTGTAGTTTCTTTGGCTGAATGCTCCACTTTAGGTACCTAAACATTAGGGTAGTTAAAAACTACATGGGAGTTAGAACTTATAGGTACCTACAAAGTATCTGCTACAATCAATGTCCAATTCATTAAAACAAAGAAAAGCTGTGGATTCTCTTCGTCATTTTGTAGATACATACGTCACACAGCCGTATATACATTTCTAAGACTTGGAATCAATTAATATTAGCAAGTAATTAAAACGACAAAATGTTTGTGTAGGTAAATGAGTATCCTATTCCTGTTCAGATATTTTCAGTTTCTTGCCATAAGTACCTAGTACTAGCTTCCGCCAGCGATTTAGCCCGCGTGGTATGTTGATTAAAAGTAGCCCATGTCCTATTCCTTAGTGTATCTTATGCTTGTGCCAAAGTTATTCATCATACATCAGAAAATGTTGTTCTTATAGGCGATTTTAATTTGAATTTCCTAACTTGGACAAAAGTACCCTCAGCGTCATATGTAGAACCACAATCTCCAACGAACAATCTCGGTACTTTATTTGTTGACTTTTTATCGAGTAATGACCTCAAACAGTTTAATTATGTTAAAAACAAAAATGACAGAATACTTGATCTAGTGATTTCTAACTCAAATTATTCTATTGTAGTTTGCCCAGCAAAAGACATTATATCTAATATTGACGAATACCATCCTCCACTAGATATAACACTGCAACTTAAAGTCCCAACTTTCTTACGTAATAGAAACACACCGACCTTTAAATTTCATAAAGCCGATTATCATAAGGTTAGAGAAAGTCTTGCAAATGTTGACTGGGTAAAAGAACTAACCGGCTTACCTGATATTAACGTATTAACGAATAAATTTTATAGCATAATTAACGAAATCATTCATAACCTCATTCCACTACACTCATCAAAAAAGAATTCATATCCATGTTGGTATACTAAGAATCTGATACAAATATTGAAAGAAAAAGAAAAATGCCGACTTAATATGAAAAAATATAAAAACAAACGCGACGAATATGAATATAATTTACTAAAAGAGAGAACAAATAAGTTGATCAAAGAACAATATTACAAATATATAGAACGCGTCCAAGAAAACTTGGTAAAAAACCCTAAATACTTCTGGTCCTACATAAAACATAAAAGAGATAATAAAAGCACAATCCCAAAAAAAATGACTCTCAACAATGCAGTAGCCACTGATGGTGATAGCATTGCTAATTTGTTTGCTGAAAACTTTGCGTCAGTATATAGTCCCATCTCCAATGACATGAATAGCTCCTTATCACATATAAACAGTTCCACAAACGTCCATAACAGTTTACATAACATTCATTTGTCAGAATCCAAAATTAAGAAAAAATTACAATATCTAGATGTATCAAAAGGACCGGGTTGTGACAAAATACCACCGTTGTTTATTAGAGAGTGTGCAAATCAGCTATCGAAACCACTTTATCTAATATATAATCAATCACTTAGTGATGGAATTTTCCCCGAATGCTGGAAAGAAGCCATTATAACACCCATTCCCAAATCTGGAGACAAAACTGACACTCGCAACTATAGACCCATTAGCAAACTTCCTTTGTTTGCTAAGGTGTTTGAGTCATTGGTGTGTCCTTTTATTAACTGGCATATTAAAGGTTTAATAACAGAACACCAACATGGTTTCGTTCAAAATAAATCGACACTAACTAATCTTGTAAGTTTTGTTGAAAGAACATTGACTGATATTAGTAACGGTAATGAAGTCGATGCTATATACAGCGATTTTAGCAAAGCGTTCGATAAAGTCGATCATTTCTTATTGCTTCAAAAACTTCATTACACTTTTAATATTCATGGATCTCTCTGGCATTGGTTTAAATCTTATCTAAAAGATCGTAAATCGAAAGTGGTTGTAAATGGACACACATCTCGTTCCTTTATACCTACATCTGGAGTTCCGCAAGGATCACATCTAGGCCCAATACTTTTTACAATGTTTATAGACGACATAAAATACTGCATTCACCACTCTTATTTTGAAATGTACGCAGATGATCTCAAAATTTCAAAAATCGTCAATTCTGACTCCGACCTAAATCTCCTACAAGATGACATAAATCGACTTTGTCAGTGGTGTGATACTAACGGCATGGAACTTAATATCAATAAATGCTATCACATAAAGTTTTCGCGTAAGAAGTATAAATTTTTTACATCTTACACTATGAAGGGACAACCTTTAAAGAGTGTAACACAGGTCAGAGATTTAGGGATTATTATTGATTCAGAAATGCGTTTTACTACACATACAGATAAAATAGTTGCCAAATCAAATAAAATGTTAGCATTTATGAATAGGAACACTAGACAATTTAGATCAATTACAGCATTAAAAGCACTTTACTATGCTCTTGTGCGTAGCAACATCGAATATTGTTCCGTAGTGTGGTATCCTATGTATCAACATAACATACAGCGAATTGAAAAAGTACAGAAAAAATTCTTAAGACGACTAGCTATTGTCTGTGGTGTACGGCATAGTGTGAAAGAGTATAATGATAGACTTGAGCATTTTAAAATGAAATCCTTGCTTTGGCGCAGAGACTATTGTGGGTTGATATTCTTATATAAAATTTTAAACAGTAGAACAGACTGTCCATCTTTGTTGTCCCAAATTCAAATAAAAGTACCAAGGTCTTCAGCTAGGCTAGTAAATTGTACCCCATTCGTCACGAAACATACCCGAAATAAGTATGGCAGCAACGCACCTCTCACTTATACTCTCAGAAAGTGTAATGACATTTATAAAAAACACGACTTGGATATATTTGCAAGCAAAATAAGTGTATTTAAAAGAGACATTAAGAGTTTGCCTAATTTTTAATTTTATTAATTTTTAATTTTATTATTTTTATTTTTTACAGTTTTCTTATGTTTTACCCAATTTCTTAATTTCTTTTATTTTTAATAACTTTTAATTTTAATTTTTAACTCTTTTACTTGAACAACCTAAAAATAATGTTGAGCCTACCTTTAATTTAAGAGCATACACTAACTGTTGTTTTATTTATTTTTAAGATTGTCTGTACGTGTCTTAGTTGGTAAGCCTAAATAAATAAATAAATAAATAAATAAATAAAAAATAAATAAAAATTTCATCCAGATCCGTCCAGCAGTTTTGGTGTGATTGAGTAACAAACATCCAAACATTTAGCTTTCGCATTTATAATATTAGTAAGTTAGTAAGATTTTAATCAAGGTATTAGATAATAATATGGCTTCCCTAAACGAAGGTTTAATATAATTATGAGAAATGATACGTTCATAAGAACTTTCCATGAAACGACTAAGTACCTACAGCGTTTTGCTTCGCCGATTACCAGAGGCCCTATCCTTCCCTTTCTCCATTCCTCCCAAATCTCTAAAACTATTCCAAGTCCCCTGGTGTTGCAATTACGCCTGTGAGTCAAAGAGTATGTCACCACTACGTTTATTGTGAGTTTGCCGCCGTACCTATTACACAAAAAAGATTATAGTATAGATCTACTTTAAAAGAAGAGGCTAGATACTGTTTTTTTTAAATCTAACTATCTTTGTCTTTGCTAGATGGCGCTATATGTCATCATCATCTTCCTGCCCTTGTCCTGTTTTATTTGGGGTCGGCGCAATATGTTTTTTTCTTCCATTCTGTCCTGTCACTCGTCACGCTATCGCTAACTCCTCTGTCTTCCATATCACTTTTCACACAATCCATCCATATTTTCTTTGGTCTCACCCTGCCTCTCCATCCATCCACATTTATACACATGACTTTTTTTGTTACATGCTTTTCATCCCTCCTTTTCACATGGCCATACCAAGACAAACGGTTCCCTTTCAACTTTTCAGTCACTGGCGCCACTTTCAAACTTCCTCTAATATACTCATTTCTCACTTTATCCAAGATGGCGCTATATGTATAACATATTTTTTGCAGATGGTGGTAATAAAGTCATTTCGTTAGCTGATTTTTGTGAATTAAATATGTTTATTTGTTATAAATCATAAGAGGTGTATCAGATTTCTTTGAACGATTTATTTCATATTTTTGCTATATAGTTGGTTTTACTTTTAATTCGCGTTCCAATACAATTAGCGAGTAGCGGCTGGCAACATTGAATAAACAAAATGTCAAAACCCGAAATCGACAACGATGGGTTTCAGAAAGTAAAATCAAAACGAATTTCTAGAAACAAACCCACGAAAATACCAAGCAGAGATATACAATTTGATAAACTAGACATTGAAATAGACGTCGATAAGACCATTCAGTAAGTATCTTTCAAAACGGAGAAACATAACATCTTAACAAAATTTTTAGGTTATTATCATTGTTGTTTATTATTTTACAGACGGATTAACTGCGCTATAGACGATTTGCGACTTTCTAGCTACTTGGAGGACATTATAAATTCCGTGAGTAGCATATTAAAGGAAAGAAAAGTTATAGAAATAGTTTGTTTAGGACTTGGACATATAGCTGAATGTAACATTTCAAAATACCAATTAGCTCTGTTGTTGTGTCTAAAGGATCATTGTAAACCTTCAAAAGTTTTAGTACATGATCCTATCTTCTATAAAAAGGAATGTGAAGTCTTAAAAAAGTTAGGGCTAGAAGTTATTTTAGAAAATAGTGAAGGTGGTTATATAATATCTGATAAAGCACCTACTCTTGTGTATTTACCTCATTGCCCAAAACAACTGACAAATAATTTCCTTTGGAGCAACTGGGGTGTTAATTTACATAACTGTTTACTTATCTGTAACAGTTTTCAATCATTATTTGACAATCAACCTAGTAGAATATTATCCGAAACAGTCCCATACATATTAAAAATATTCCCTCATACTTCTGAAGAAACATTACTAAATAACTTCAAATACACTGACATTTTTAATGACACTGCTATCCATTACTTTACTAAAGAAAATCTAGAACAACTTGACCCAGACTTTTGGGTCAAAGGTGACAAACCGACATATGAAAATACTGAAGAATTTATAACATCTCTCATGGTAAAGCAGCTGAACATTTAATTTGTTTGAAGGTATAAAAATGGCATCAATCTCTACAAAGCCCGCATTAGTAACACTTCGGCAATTATTGTCAGAGTTACGTAAACAGAGCTCTTCATCAAAGCTTACGGAGAATCAAATGGTTCAGTATATATTCAGAGAATACAGAAAATATCAGACTACGGATCAACAGTTATGCAAGGCAGCTGATGAGATGCATTTCAGAGCCAAGTCCTACTATGATTATCTGCACCACTCAAGAAGGTACAAAGAAATCAATGCAGAGTTCAAAGGAAAGGGAGAAAGGAGTGTTGAAGAAACGGCAAGGATGGTTGGTTTCAAAATGCCACATGAACCTAAACCTTAACATTACCTATAAAAGCATAAAATCAAATGTAGACTTAGTTTTCTGTAAATAAATGTTCATATAATAGTTTATAAAAGTCTTTTATTTGGAATACAATTTGTATAAAATATATATTATATATTTTAATTACATTAAATTTGATTTTGTACAAAAGGGAAGACATTTTTCTTATTTTAAAACTAATATCAACTACAATCTCTTTATCATTGTACTCATAGATAACAATTAATTCATCATTTAGTAAATGCAAACATTTGTTTTTAAATAGTAAAGTGAACTATTTAATAAATTCGGATGTTCTAAGAATTATGTACAATCAAGGGTCTCAAGTACAGATGCACTCAACAAATGCATCGTAATAGAAGTTCAGTGGTCTATAAATCAGATTTCTCATACTTTAGAATGTATGCTACAAATTAAATCAGTTATAGAGCCTTTGACATTTGTCTATATAGACATTTTGGCATTGGTAAAGTGCAACTGGACTATGGAGGCTTGACTCCAAAATATTCTTTGTAATATTTCTTAGGAGTATATAATCAATTCTTATAATCTCTATTGGGTATACTGCCTCTCAATCAGTTTGGCGATCGTCTGCAACTGCATATTGCTAGTTCCCTCATAGATGGTACCGATCTTGGCATCCCGGAAGAATTTCTCTTGAGGGAAATCTCTAGTGAAACCTACTCCTCCCATGAAGTCGATGCACTTTGATGTCAACTTCTGAGCGATTTCTGTAAATTGAAAATTTGTTAGTAAGTACCTAAGTAAGTACCTTGTTTGTTATAGACAATCTTACGGGATAAATTTTATCATAGACAATAATAGTTAGATGTCCTCATTTATCTGAATGAAGCTTTTTCTCAACAACCAGAAACCAAACAACACATTTTTTAGTGAGTTTAATGAAAAATCTACACATCAATCTTTTACCCGCAAATCCATAATTCACCTAGTCGGCAGGAACGCACCTGTAGCTCGTCTGGTGTTGCCAGGGTCTAAATTGCTTACCATCAGCCAATCAGCCTGATCATTTTCAGCCTAACCACATAAAAAATATTTTCAAAGTCACTATCTTACCTGAAGCATAGTATTTAGCCATGGCAGCCTCCTTGACGAAGTCCATGTTATGTTCCTTGAGCCTGGCAGCGTTGTAGGTTAGGAGACGAGCGGCTTCCAGTTGGGTTTGGAGGTGAGCGATCTGGTAGCTGATACCCTGGGTTGACATAAGGATGGTTTGGATTAGCTCATTACTCGTAAGTCAACAGTGTTCCTTGGGGCCTTTTTTCTCCCAAAGGATAGTACTTACCTACAGGTAAACATAATGCACCAAAAATTATGGTATGAACAATGTTCACCTACTTTTTATAAGTTATATGTAGGTATGTCTAATAAAATTGAGGTCGAGTCTATGAAACTACGTAGGTACAATTTGCTTGCCCCTGTACCTACTCATATAAATGTAAGTAATTTTTTTTCTGCATTTCACACAAAGAATAGAATTTAAATAGCCTGCGTTAAGTATTATGTTTTTCTGCTACTTTGTCATCTCAAGTATTGAAAATATGGTGTTTATTAAATAAGTACCCATTTAGCTAGAAGCTACTTTTATATTAGAAGAAAGAAGGAAGAAATTGAAGACCATAAATTAATTCGTCTTCAATTTTTAGTCTAGTCTTTAACAATGAAATAGACATCACCTTTACGTAGCCCCCTTCCCTCCTCTCTTTATTTTAAAGGTCAATAAGTAAACCTGATCCTACTCTCAAGAGATCTTTGAAGAGGCTCTGGTGGACATTATAGCAAATCCATCTTTTGTGAAGAAGGTACAGTTAGCTGCAGAGAAAAGGATCCCCCTATGTAGATAGCTGCAAACATATTTGTACTTCAGGGGGGTCCATTTCTCTGCAGCTGACCGTACATAGGCCTAGGTAGCCCAGTACTGGATTTGGGCTGCTGATGATAAGATTGACTTGTGGGTTCCTATATGGTGCTTAGGTTTAAACAACTTTTATGTATAAGTATGAAGTTACCTGGAAAGAGTAAATGCTCTTGCCGAACTGCTTTCTCTCAAGAGTGTAAGGAATGGTGGCGTCCATGCAACCCTGGCACAGACCGATCATCTGTGACGCGATACCAATACGGCCCTCGTTCAGGAAACCTGCTGCGTATTTGTAACTGGAAATAAGAAATTATTTAAATTAGATTAAGTAGGTATTAGAAAATGAATTTGATATTAAATTTGTCTTTTTGATAGGTCGGCAAACGAGCAGACGGATTAGGTACCCGATGGTAAGCAATCAGCGCCGCCCATGGACAACAGATGAGTTACGAGTGCGTTGCCGACCTTTTGGGGATTTGGGATTGGGCAAGGGGAGGAATTGGGACTAACCTCACTCATATAGTGAACCACAACGCTGGTTGTTTCACGCCGATTTTTTTTGAGGCCGTGGTATCACTCCGGTAGAGCCGACCCATTCGTGCAAAAGCATGGCCCTACCACACTTATCTGCCCTGTTCATAGTTCTTGGAAATAGGTAAGACCTAGATATCCACGGCATGTAAAGCAATAAATAAAAGGTACCTTTTACGCTAAGCACTAACGTAAGCTAAGGTAACCCACCGTGCAATCTGATAAGGGTAAAAATGTCTACGTAGGTACTTAAAAAGTAGACCAATCGGAAAAGTGTATTTCTTGCCTTAGGTAGGTACTATAAGTATGTAGGTCTGAGGCAGTGAAATATCACAGATTTACTCTTTTAGACTTCTTTATTAAATTTAAACTACACCGAGACGTCTTATTCGTTTTACAGTTGTCGCCATCTTCCTTTTTTCCGTCTATCCTTCCTCTCTCTCACACACATACGTCATCTCGCTCATGTGTCACTCATGCTCATATTCTAGAATCCTACAAGTATTAGTGAAAAACTCGTTGCCAGCTGATCTAATCCACTTATTACGGTACCTTTTTGTGAGGGGAAAATTATCATAACCCCACACCCAGGTAAGGCGTGGAGGAGAGTCGGACTCTTCAAGAATAAAAACAGCCTCATTCCATCTTCTGCTTTCTGCTAATTAGTAGCACCTTTTAAAATTTATATGGATTGTTTTCTCAGCAATAGTCATCAATCTTTAAAAGCCAACTTCTGAGCAAAGGCCTTTTCTCATACGGAGAAGAATTGAGCATTGTCATCCTTCAGCAAAAATGATCAAGACAGATTGACGACTTCAAACCAAAAAATAGAAATTGTTACTCACCCTTTGCCATATTCTCCAAGAATGCTGCTTTCATGCACTCTCACGTTATCAAAGTGCACCATGCAGGTACCGGAGGCACGGATACCGAGCTTAGTCTCAGGCTTGGCAACGGACAGACCAGGGGTGTCACGCTCCACGATGAAGCAGGTGATGCCTTTGTAGCCCTGGAATTTTTAGGCAGTTTTAGTGATGGACATAGGCATTTGGAAATTATAAGAACATTAGGTGAAGTTCTGGTTTTGCTGTTAGTGTCGGCACTGCTTTTAGCGGTCTGCAAATTACTTCTGCCGGATCAGGACATCTTTGGTTATTTGATTCCACTTACTTCTCTTTTCTCTTTTTAATAACACCATACTTCTATGCCGGCACAACCAACTTCCTTAGCTGTTTAAATATTCGCTGTTTTGTCTTCGAAAAGCAAGACACGCTCTATAGACTGCATTTAAAACACACATTGGCTCAGAACCTCCCTAATTCGGAATGGTATCGAGTCTACCCTTATTCGTTTAAATATGTGAATTTGAAGTTAATCTTTTCTTACCTTAGAGGGGTCAGCATTAGCCATAACGAGGAAAACTCCAGCGACATCGGAGTTGGAGATCCACATCTTGGAACCGCTGATGACGTAGTGGTCACCGTCCTTCTTGGCAACAGTCTTCAAGGCGAACGCATCAGACCCTGAGCTGGGTTCTGTGAGGCAAAAACTGCCGGCCTGAGAAAGGAAAAAGGATAATGGAGTTTGATTTGTTTTATAATGCATTTATGCCTTCCAAGACCCACCAAATAAATCTTATTGTCACGTTGATCACTTTAGATCTTTTATAAGAAGAAATACCGTGAATACCACATATATCTACTCGTTAAAATAGTCTTCAAAAGACTGCAATACTTCTAACCACTAGATTTTTTGTTTTTATCACTGTCCAGATCCTCTTAAATACTTAGCAGCACATACAAAAAGACAAAATTGCCATTATCTTAGAACTAAAGTTACTAGTATAAAGCCCACTTACGTATTCCGTGCAGAGTTTCGTCAAGTACTTCTGTTTCTGCTCTTCAGTACCGAGCTTCATAAAGAGAGAGTTGACCAGCGTGTTGTGAATATCCACGTAGGCAGCTACTGCAGGGTCGACCCTGGACAACTCCTCGACGACCAGCATCATTGTGAGGAATCCACAGCCGGAACCGGAGTATTCAGTGGGGGTCTCAATACCCATCAGCTGTTAGAAAATTTAGTGTGTTACAGAGAAAATGTTTCCGTTTCCACTATGTTTATGTTAAAATTAAAGATTGGAATCCAATTCCAATCTTTAGTTTTAACATTTCAATCGAAATTCCAATCTTTAGTTTTAACCTTTCAATCGTGATTATTCGAGACATAATAGTAAGACAATAGGCGCGTCAACGCGTTCGCTTGGGATTTAATAAATTAAGATCACCCTAAAGCCCTAAAAAACCTACTATTCCAACAAGAGCAGTGGTTTTTATGTGTTATACAATTATAAGTAGGTAGGTACTATTAGAATGAAGTCCTACATTTAAGGTATATTGAACTCGATCCTTTATTAGGCGTCCTATAATTATGTCATGTATGATAATGATGAATCAATTATTTGAATGACACTACATTTATAACGACCTGAAGTGCTATAATCTTTGGACTCATCAGTTACAAAATGACTTCTTGTAAACTAAGTGTTAATAACCATTTTTAAACCGGCTAAAAAAAGAGGAGATCTCTCCATTCGACCCTCCTTTCGATCATGTTAAAAATGTAAAGTGTCAGCGTGGTCTCATGGAAATTTGCTTGAAATCTGATGATCACAGTGGAATCTTATTCTAGAGAACTTCTCAAAAATTAAAGGAATAGGATCTGCGATTACGTTTGACTGACATATTCTAATATGCTGAAGCATTGACAAGTTGAATGTGCTTCTTAAGGCTGCTGCATTTTTTCTATAATTATCTCCTAAAAATCCCTTTGCACTTTCAGCCACAAATCCTCTTCTAATAGGTACCTAACTAACCTAATAAATAACGTTATAAGTACTTTTGTAATCCATGACATTGAATTGAAAGTCAAACTGATATCGTTAAGTCATCAGAGTTTATTGCCACTTGTTTATACAATAAATTGCATTATGTAAATAGGTGTGGTCATTTAGTTATGTTTGTTACCTACTTTATATGTTGATAGGTACCTACTTTTTCTTCATTAATTAGTCTATTAGAAATGCGCGCAATGGTTTTCGACCTTGATTTTTATAGATATCACGTGTACGTTACAATTTTAAACACCCTGTTTGAAGCGATATGGTCAACTCTTTTTACATGAGGAGTCAGGCGTAGCTTGTCATTAAAATCCTTTTTATGTGATACCTATAGGGTCCCAAAAGAGCAGACGTTATAAATTATGGTAAGCTATTTGCGCTGACCTCGGAGCCTACTAACAACGCCAGAGATGTCAAGAGGGTTTTTCCGGCATTATAAGGAAAGAAACTTAAGCAATGAGGTTTGAGGATTAGGGAGTAGAAGAAGAAGAAGGAAATAGGAGGATTAAGTAGACCTTCGTAATCGTAACCTTGCTGACACGGCTAAATACAACGTTGTGATTATTTTACGTCGGTTTGCTGTGACGCCATGATATAAGCCCGATCAAACCAACCCAGTCGTGTTGGAGCATAGCTCTCCCACATTTAAATCAGCTACAAATTACAGAGCTTATATTGTTTGTATAAAACCGCATTAAGAAGTGTTTAGAAAGTAGGTTTATCGCTATGAACACTTACACCATTGTCGAAAAGCAGTTGCCTGATGCTGTCATCGATGCGGTGTTCATCTTCCATTTTCTTGACCAAAGGAGCGATCTGTTCTGTTGCCAGCTTTCTGACTGCAAACAACGAAAATAGAGGGTCAAATAAAGATCTTTAAGTAGATTTGTTATTTTAGAAGTAGGTAAGTACCTATAGGTACCAATTATTCTTATAAAACTGACTGTAAAAGACTTCTTCTAAGCAGTAATTTTGAGAAAAGAAGGTAAATAGGTAGTGTATTCTGGATCTACCAAAAAGTACTTCCAATTCTTTTCTAGAATATTCTACCTATTCGTGTCTACCTATCTGGACAGCCTTGTCTTAGGGTATTAGGTATTTTATCTCAAATGTTGATTATTATCATAGAGATAGCGTTGGTTTACTATTATGCTACTCAAAAGCATCCAATCTTTTTGTCGTTAATCGCTAAGCTTCGATTTTGGCTTGATAAGGTTTAGTAAGAGTTAAGAGACAGCGGTTGAGAATTTAAAAGCCCTTAATTCGTTTTGGCCATTTTGTCAAAATCACTAGGTACCGTGACCTTGTACTTGCCTAGATACATAAAGGCGTGGTATGTGGGACCATTCCATGATTTCAATCCCTTCAAATCGTAACTTTTTAACCGACTTTAAAGGCGCTTAGATTGAATAAGCACACTCCGACTTTGTATTTGTATAAAGCTCCTACCTACATAGCCATGTAGTTACCTACCTACATAATGTCAATACATACTAAAGTTATGTACCTACTACAAACAAATATGTCAGACATAATAATAGGTACTGGTCGGTCTCGTCTACCACCATCGTTTAAATGACGATAAAATGCTTATTTAAAAAACATGTCACGCTATCGTTTCTGTGAGCGCGGATCCGTGCAAAGCGTTCATATAACAAATGCTATGTTATTGAGGACGGTCGAGTCATAGTTACTGTATGTTTCTAGCCTTCTTGTAAGTATTATTAATCGTATGGTAGCGTGTCTAACTAGGATGTTCTAAAAACATTACGGCAAGTAAATCTGTACCTGAGCTATATTTATAAGTACTAATACTAGCTTTTGCCCGCGACTTCGTTCGCGTGGAATAATGACTTCCTGCAGATTTTACATATAAAAACTATCCTATGTCCTTTCTGGAGTTGCAAACTACCTATGTCTGTACCAAATATAACAGAGATCGATTAAGTAGTTTAGGCGACATACAGACAGAGCAAAAGTAATCGCATTTATTTTTTCGCTGTAGAGTTTGTTTGTTTGAAGTGTTCGTCTCAAAGGCCACTTGTAAAGTTTTTAAATGGGTCCAGATCGTAAGAATTTGCCTTATGACCTGGGCCCATCTAAATTATTGTCAAGAGACGTGCGGACTCCTTTTTAAACGGTCGGTAACGCGTCTGTGAGTCTCCTGGTATTCCTCTATTTGCCTCCTATTCCATAAATACCATTGTCTATTTACAGACAAAATAAACAAAACGAAGTTTTCATTAAACTCTCCTATACTAAATATAAAACATTTTTAAAACTGTACCAAGAGAACGGGTGTGTCTACACGCAAATTGACGTAACAGAGCACACCAGTCTTTTAAAACATTTTATATATAAAACATTTTGTATAATTCGTAACGCCTACGTTTCTTTATCGTTGTTTCGTGGGTACATCTTATCAGACTTCAACATGCTCGGGCGTTCAAAAACAACCATTATCTACTGCGCACTGTTGCCAAGTATATTAGCGACTCAACATCGTAAGATTGATAAAGACTTATAAAATTATAGTTGCTTTGTAAAGATTACATTATTACGGTTTTCGTTATACTTAGATGTTTGATAAAGTCCAGTAGAAGATTAGAACGAAAATAACCCTAGCTTGTGGGTGTGCGCCGTTGATATTAAAACGTAGCTTATTTCTCTTTTAAGCTTATTTCTGGATCCACATACCTGTATAGTGCATTGCTATGCTCATCTGCATTAACGATAATGTAAACTTATCCTTTACAACGAATTTGTTCCGAAAACTATGGCTTAGGATTGGCTTAAGTTCTTTTGTATTTGTAATGGTTAGGTTTTTGGCCACTCTCTCACCTGTCGGTAAGCGAGGATCCGACCTACGATGGAGCATGCCTACCTATAAGCAAACTATACATTTGAGCCTTGAAGATTTGGCTTCGTACGCCGAGTAAATTAGAAGCGGACTTTTAAATAAAATACGTGTCATCAACTTGTCCTTACATGTCTAACCGCCCAAAAAGTGGCGCCTAAATTGTTGTGTCAAAATCAAAACCATAGATAGTCAATGGTGACCATAAACAATATCTGGTATTCTATTAACAATACTAATAGTGGGTCTCAGGGACGCCACAAAGACACCAAGGTACACCCCTTCAGGGTCTAACCCCTAAAATAGACTCCGGTAAAGAATTTTAGACCCTAAAGGGGTGTATCTTGGTGTCTGTTAACTGTTCTGTTGCCATAATCCCTAAAACTCAAAGACCAGCTTGCGCTAACATTCGTTAACAGCGCGATTGAGTAATGAACCAAACTTGAATTGTAAAAGTAGACTTGTTTACTTCATAACTATGTTGCAATGAGTAAGACATATGTGTTTTTCCTTGTCATTACATAGTGCTACCGTCCGTGCCTCACTAGGTACGCAACGCCAAGCCAACTACAGAGTGCTTTTAGTCAGCTGGGGATGTGGGTTCACATGGAATAATAACCCCGGCCCAGAAGAGGAGAAGGAATGGGCTGTTTTTAGTCAGATACTCCTTAGAGAGCGGGACAAATCAATGATTTCATCCCATCAAAAGAAGCTTGGTGGCAAAATTTTATGTAAGTATATGTGATTTTGAAGACCAAATCAGGTTTTGGACATGATTATTAGTGTTTTTCGTCTAAACGACTTTCCTAGACTTTCCTAGACTTGTCCTGAGGTATCTGAGAAGCGACGTACTAAAATTGCCTAAGTATGTGCCTACATACATTGAGTTGTGTGCCTACCGTTTAATATTATGTTTTTAAAGTACTTACTTCGTCTTTATTATAGCATCAGCTTACATTAAGTATTAACAACAAATTGCTGTCGTTATAAACACATGTTTATAACAAAAATAACATGTTTTCCTTTTTCAACCATATGTGATTATACGTAGTTGCCACTGATAAAATTGGACGGAATGTTGTTTCTGATATCTTGAATTATTTACTTTAAGGGTAAGGCTGCAGAAGCGCAAACTACGCGTAACCGAAATCGTAAAAGTATTTAGGAGTAAGAGATTTTTCTAGAAGTTTTATAAAAAAGTACTTAAGTTTTAAATATGGACACAAAAACAAAAGAATTTGGTTCCATGACCATGTGTACCTACCTAATTTACTTTGGAAATGTAGATAAGCCAAAAATGATATACATATTTTTAAGTAATTATGTACCTACAACTTGGGTTTCGTCTAGTGAAAATTACATTTCAACAACTCCAATTTAGGCCATTAAAAATTACAATTCAGTTTTCACTCGACCCCAAAAAATCTCAACAGCCACTCGTGTCAAGTTAGGTGCCGAACTACAATGCCCAATGGCACGTTTTTTGAAAGATAAAAATCATTGACTTCTCTCGACCAGGTTAAGGCGACGAGACGGAGTGTCAGGCATCCGTTCCCTCTCACGCTGCAGGACGAGGCCGCGGTACTTTAAAGCGCTTGCGCCGATAAACGCGATCGACTTGTTTATGTTTAACCACTCACAAGTTTACCCACGAATCAGGGAGATACTTTTATCTCCCTGATTCGTGGGTAAACGTAACATAAGGTAAACATAACTCATTTAAGTCCAAGAAAAGGTATTATCTACAATCAATATACAATTAAAACTTTCCTAAATGAACCGATGCACCCAAATATTTCCATACTTATAAAATTTGTTGATATTTCATAATCACATAGCAATAACTATGTGTGAGTTGCATCATAACGATCAACAAGAGCGAGATAGCAATACCACAACTGCTAATGTTATTATTTAATTTAACTTAACTTATCTATTTAGTTCAACAATGTAAATATATTCTCTAACTATATAATGGAGTGTTGTTCGGTTTTATCTTTTTATTTTTGAGGGAGAAAATCATCAATTGGGTTCTCCTTCGCGCTGGGGAGTGTGAGGGCGAGAGGCAGTCTACACTCATAGAGAAATTGGTTAATTTCTCTATGGCCACACTCGTACTGAAAAAAAAAACACCCCGTTCCTTCTCCTGTTCCGAACTAGATCCACGACAGATACAGTACGGCCGCCGTATCTTGGCGAGTCTGAAGTTAGCCGTTTGTCTGCGCAATGGATGTTATAGGAACAAAATTGTGTACTGCGCAGCTAATCGGCTGACTTCAGACTCGCCAAGATACGTCGGCGGTATTGTACATTATAACGGTTGAACTCCCATCGCCAAGGTTTCATCTTCGATCACATTTAAGTACCCAACGTTTTACTACGATCAATGTCAATCGATCATGCTGGTTAATCTGGTCATGATTATAGACTCCCGCGTGCCTGGAAACTAGTCTAAACTCGTCGAAAAATAAGGTTAATGACAAGTGAGTATGCCATACTTCCTAAAGCTAAGTGTATTTATGAAACCATTACGACATTAGTTTTAAGTTTTTAAGTACCTAAGTAGAGTAGTAGTCTTTTACCCAAAATAATGGGGGGAGGGGAAGAAGTAAAAATGGGAGGAGTCCTTGGACACGATAACCAAAGGGCAAGGCCATGGGCAGCAACTAGTGCCTATTATCAAACGACTTACGTAGGTAGGTATGTCATGTCAGTTATGTATGTAAGTAGATTAGATAACTTCGCTACGAAAATCGAAATTTTGTTTTGTCAAAATTGTATTATTTAAGTAATCAAGCGTACCTTATCATTTCTATCAGGTTTAAAGAGGGCGGTACATTTGAGTATTTTGTATTGCTATCATAAGATTTAATAACAAGATTATGATATTATTAGTACTTATCTACTTAAATTACGTACAGGCGCCAGAGAAAGAAGCTTCTCCAAACAGTTTTCCCAGTCTCTGACACTAATTTTCGCCACACGGGATAAGTCGTTGCACGATTTTGTTCCCTTTTTTATTTGTATTTTAAAGAAGAAAAAAGCTTTTAAGCTTAGTGAAAAGGACATATTTTGATATTGATTAATGAAGATGTATTTTAGTATTGTGTCCTTATATCTAATATTGTATAATTTTATCTACAATTTGTTAGGCTTAATTAAACAATACCATTGTATAATCTGCGCAACTTACGCATATTGCACTTTGAACTTTAAATTCTAGTCATTAAAAATTCATCAGGATAAACTTATACTTATAAATAACATGTATATAACATAAGATAATAAAATATAGGCAGAAAAAATTAAAAACGCGCTATTTACATACATATAAAAGGCCGTAATTTCCTAATTAATATGAGATGACTAGGCAATAGGCAACCAGTCAAGTTCAGTACTCTTATCAGTCTAAAACTGACGATAAGTTTTTATTTAAAGATACACATTGATGACGTCATAATATTTATAATAGTCGATTAGTAGGTATATTACTTTATTAAAAAACGTTAAAGCTGATTGATAGTATTATGTTATAATAGGAGAACGAAAATTATTGGAGAGCCATACATCAGCATGAATGAGCCGTCTCAGTCGGAGTCGGAGGTGGCACCACGGCCTCAAAAAATGCCGGCGTTCGTATTCGTTTGTTTTAGTTTGGCTGTTTAAGTAAGGCATCGAAAAAGAAATATCCAGGAGTAAGGTTACCGAAGAGTCCCCTTACCTCCTCTCCTCTATTACCAAAACCCTAACAACCCACAAAATGCAAGAAACTATTGTAACTGCTATCGTGTTGAGGGTCTCCATAGACAGAGTAGTTTGCTTACCATCAGGTTATCCGTCTGCCCATAATTATGTCGACCTATCTAATCTCATAAAAGAGGTACCTAAGTGAAAATTTGTCTAGCTTCTACTTATTTATGCCTACTTAGAGTAATTTACTCGACTGTCCAAAAGAGGATGAATGTGTTTAGTTACCGTACAAAATACAATGAACCTTCGTCTTATAACATAACTGATAATTAACACTATTTTAGTTGTGAATTCCGGTCAGTCAGCAGCCAAAATGGGATGTGTGATTTATTTGATCAATCACCGTGATTGTCCAATGTCCATACTGCTTCAATAATTGTATAAATAAACTAGAGTTGTCTAAATGTAGAGGGGGCACAGTTCAGTCCAGTATATCATTAACTAATAAGAATCTAGCCAGATGCGTTACTGACCTATCTTTGACAGAAATAGCCCGAAGAAAGAAGGTTTATAGTACTTATAGCTTATCAGATTTATATAATATAGTGATGTGAATTTACATGGCTGATGACTTAATTAAAAATGAATTATTCCAAACGAAATATTAAAAGGAAATTACGCTTTTATTATGTATGTATTTGATTTTACGACTAACATAATGGTACATGTTACCTACTTTTCAAGATATAAGGTTAAGTTTTTTTTATCGCCAATAGATGTTGTCTATTGGCGATAAAAAAGTTAACGTCACAAGACACAATCCTGATTCCAAAGAAAAATTTTTGATTTTGGCAATTCGAAAAAAATATCTAAGATTGAATTTGTTTTGCTGGTAGGTAACCAATTGGCAATTCTATGCACGATAACAAAATTAAATATTAAAATAAACAATTAAGAATCAATATTTTATACTTACGTAGGTACTTATGTGAAGTTAAACAATACATCGATAGATCATATTACCTATTTTTTTTCCTTTTAAGTAAGTACTCGTTTTACGTGTAACTTGCCGATATTACGCGTCAAATTAATTCATAGCGTCGCGTCTCTGATATCTTTATGAGTAATTTTTTTTATAGATCATATTTGCAGGAAAAATACATTATATTCGTTTAGTTAGCTTATTTAAACCGGCTAAGGATAGTTAAGCGTACAATTTGTGGTTGTGCGCATTCCATAATAATATGTTTCTTCTGTCGTACTTACTTGTTTCTTTCATAGCGAGTTCGTCTTCGGTCAACACGGACAACGGTTGAGGAGTGGCCACATCCGAGCTGTAATTCCTGTGCATTTTTGCAGCTACCACAGGAGCCCTCCATTGCTCTAGAATCTGCAAAACCGCCTACTTTTAAATAACTTTTGACTACATACTTAATACTTATTATTAAAACTCAATTGGTTCTACATCAATATTCATAATGTTGGCAAAACTTTCAAATTCAAATCGAATTCGAATTTAAATTGAACCATAGTGAGATATTTATTTTTAATTGATATTGATATGTACACTGATCACACACCTTGCTGCCAACGCGGCGTAATGGGAACATTGTTGTTTTATTTATTTTATACTGTTTGCAACAGGCAATGGATGCGGCCGCGCCTGCGTTGAGCGAACTCCGACTCGAACTGAGTTGATTTCTCGGGACCGGTATGTTATCTCACTCGCACGAACGAAGATAACGTGTTTCGAGTTCGACCAAATCTACTTTGGTGACCTTGACTGCTACAAAATACCAATTGATTATGCTCTATTATCTTTGTCGATTATTTTTAAGTATGTAAGTATGTGTTATACCATAGCCTAGATACTTTGCTAGGGACTGTTTACAGTGATTAGGTAGTTAGCATTTTTTAGTTCCCCACCTATATCTACGGCAATTCAGATTTGTTTGGGTATTGGCCAAAGCTTTTACTTATGAAGATAATATAATTATTATTTCTCTTTCCCTCTTGCGCTCGATCAAGTCTTGCACAAAGTAAGTAGAACCAATAAATTGATCCATTAAGTAATTCCGCACGAGAACACGAGCGGGCGAGCTTCTTGTAGGACTTTGAGTTGATGAATAATAATCATAGAAATCTTAATAATAAGGCAATTAATTATTAAGATTTCTGTGATACCAATAATAGTGCTTTATGAATTAAGATTATTTTTTGCAAAAAAAGCTTTGTTAGCACACAGTTATTATCTTATGGATATGTCGCATAGACGGGTGGTGCCCGTAATTTACACAAAATGAAAATAACATAATACGGAGGCCTAATCCTTCCCTTCGCCCCAACCCCTAAATCTGCAAATCCCTAATTCCCTAAAGATCGGCAACGCACTCGTACCTCCTCTGTTGTTGCGGGTGTGCAGGGCGACGTTGATTGTTTACAGGTAGGTACCTAATCCGTCTACTCGTTTGCTAGGTACCTACTTAACATATTAAATATGTATCTACCACAGATTATATACCTAAGGTATGTAATAAACATAGGGGACTAAATAAAATTGAGCAATATTCATCTTAATTTTGCTTGTTGCTCGATAAAATCGTCAGGCACTTCGTCGTCCAGCTCGTTAGAGAGCATAAACTAAGTAGGTCAATCGTTTGATAAAAAATTAAAATAAGACTCAATAACCGTGGAATAACAACCAAGAAAAAATAATTTACTATCTACGCGGCAATATGCCATTCTGTACCTCGACTGGTACATTGCCGAAGGGTACCTCGCCGAAGCAAAGAAGAACTAAACAAGGCGCATGAAGATAATCAAATAAAATAACCAACCCCCGAGGGCAAAAAAGTCACTAACACTGAGGAAACCAACCACTGGTGGGTCGAGGATAAGGCGGAGTGCCAGGTGCGGCTAATCCACAAGGACAACCCGGGTTACGATGAGGGTTTAGTCAGAAGAGAAATACTGCAGAGGTTTTAAACGGTAATAAAATAGAATAGAATAGAAACGTCCCTCGTCACGGTCAATTTATCCCACTAGAAACTTTCTAGTTCATCACACTCTTCTTTTTATACATTGAGTAAATTAGATTTTAAACGGAAATGTCGTTCAGGAATTTGCAAACATACTTAGACTCACTATGCTAGCTATGTTGATGTGTGAAACGAAACGTATTTTCCTTTGACAGCCGGACGTAAAGTTAATGTTGGTATCCCTGTTTTCTAGAATCACGCAGAAACTTACAATTTATTGCCATGTTTAAATAATAATCACAAAAACAAGGAAAATTAGTAAACGCTGAACTTGATTTGAAATACTTGGCTGTTATTAATTATACATTTAATATAATGATATTATATATATTAGTGATTATTACAGTTAGAAGAAGTAGCTCTTAACAAATAATATCAAGTTAATGTGTTTTGTGCTGTGTTTGAGTTGGGTGATGGTGAAGTTGCTGGAAATGCAATCCTTCCCCATTTTGTAATAACTATACCTTTGAATCTTCAATGACTACTGTCAAGATATTTTTTTCTGGTTTGTAATTTTTTGTTCCATATACGAGTGTATGGGAGCTACTTAGGTGTAAATTAAATTTTATTGTGGTAACACCGTAACTGTCACTTGGTAATGGCATGGTTCGTTTCTTACCAGACTGTTCTCGAAAAATACGAGAAAACGAAGTGATACGAAACTAGCACGCGGGATATTTGTAAGCATACTGTGTATTGAATCAAACTCTAGCGTTACAATCGGGTTCTCTGATCACGACGTGTCAAAAATCTGGACTGTCACGGTTTTGACTTGAGTTCGTGTAAGGTGTTCTCAAGGAAAGTAAATTTTAAGACCTTGTGTGTAGAATCATTCTTGAAAAATGGCTAAATGGGGCGAAGGTGATCCTAGATGGATTGTGGAGGAGCGGCCAGACGCTACAAATGTGAACAACTGGCATTGGACGGAGAAAAATGCGGGACCATGGTCGAAGGAGCGGCTAAAAGAGCTGCTGAATAATTTCAAGATAGCCCAAAATGGTGTAGATTGTAAGGTGACAGAGGTGGAGAAGTTGGATGGTGAGGCTTCAGCGAATAATAGGAAAGGAAAATTAATATTTTTCTATGAATGGGACATTAAATTGAAGTGGGAAGGTAACTTGGCTGGCAGCAAGGATATCGTGAAAGGAGAAGTGAGCATCCCTAACTTGTCGGAGGAGAACGACGTTAGTGAAGTGGATGTGAGTATTATTAAAAGTTCATATAGTAATTTATGCACTTCCTTAGCTGATCAATTATTATTTGACATTGAAATAACATCTGTTTGAAAAATAACCTAGAACACATCTATATTTCTACTTCCTGATTCAATTTGCTGATTGGTAGCAAGCAGGTTGAATGACCAAAACATTGATCACATAGTTAAATAGATTATCTATGGTAACTTGTATGGTATCACATAAAATACCCATGTTGAGTTACATTTTATAATAAACCCTATAAATTAAAGCCACAGATAGGAAATAAGTGGTTTTTATTTGATAATGTTGTGGTGGCTTCACTTGATTACTTTGTTATAATGGCTTTAAAATAGGGTTATGTATTAAAACATGTGCACATCAAAATACCTAAGGTACATTGCTTAAAATTATTTCAATCGTTTTGAAGTATGATTTGCAAATCTGCAGGAAAAAAATCATTGAGTAATATTCCGTATCTATCAAACTCCTATTAATCATGTATACATAAATGTGTATTAAGTACACATTTTATGTCATTTTAAGTAATTAGAAATTGTAAATCAATATCATACTCTTTTAATGAAAAACACAACTTAGGCACATTACTTAGGCATTAACTATAGAATAAACAAAAACTTTATAAATTAAGAGTCTTATATATTTTCAATAAAAAAATACTGTTTCAAGCTTTCTGTCATTTTGTATTCTTATAAGTATTATGCATTTTTTGTGATTGTCATTATAACATGAATGCAAAAGATACTGTAAATAAGCAGTTTTATAACTAAAGATATGTGCAAAAAAAACAATGATCAAACTAAAATGTTTAATTCAAAAAACCTATATTCAACTGTAGATTTATAGTTTTAGGTTAGAAATACTTGTTGGGAATGTTCTTGTAAATTTATGTTTTAATTTCTTATTTTCATATAGCTATTTAGTTTGTTACAAGTTTGATCTATTTTATTCTTCTATTAAAAACTTAACAATAAGTTACAATTTAATCCTTGTTTGACAGAGTATTGAAACCTATTTAAGTATCAAAACACTCTGGAATGTATATTACTATTTAGAATATGATATAATAACTTTGATTAATATCATTAAAATGTATGAAATTATTGTATTGAACTGTTCTTTTTATATAAAGTCATGTTAGACGATTATGCTTATTGTGTGGCAAAATAAGTACTTTTATTGAATGTACATTACACAATTGTGTAACTAAAATTCTTTGAGAAACAGATTTACACATTCTGAAAATAAGTGTAAACAAATAAATACACAAGCATGATTTTAATTAGCTTTTTCAATATTCAATTTCAGATTTCGATTACAATTAAAGGCAGTGGGGAGGAAGCTCAGAGGGTCAAAGCATTCATGCACAATGTAGGCAGAGATAAAATCAGGAAGCAACTCTCCGAATATGTCCGAAGTCTCAAAGAAGAATTCTCCAAAGGTCTCATTCTACCAAAGAAGGGCGAAACTACAGTTAAACCAGACAATGTCTCGATGATCACCAGCGGTTTCAATAAGAAAGTTAACATGGACCCCATTGTTGCTCCAAAGAATAATCAGATTGGTTGCAAGTTGGATACAAAGAGCATTGAGCTGTCGGAGAAGTTCCAGTGCCGTGCGCAAGAGTTCTACGATGCTATGACTCGAATAGAAATGGTTACTGCTTTTACACAGGTATGATATACTTCCTTTCTGTTCCGTTATACGGTATTTTACATCTGTTATTGCAAAATCTTTACTCATTGATAATGAGTCTAGCAAAAAGGACAATCATTGGAAAATATTGCTAACTACATTGTATTTAATAAATAGGCCATACAAATCTTAATTTAAGTCTCTGATTGAACAAACATTATGTTGATTAGTTCATATTGAATTTTATCAGTTAACAATACATGTAGAAAATACCGACATACTCACATGAATAAACTGAGAACGGAATTCATGAGCATCATGCGCGTCCTGGAGCTATTAGAACTATTCTCATTGTATTCATGTGAATTATTATTTTCAGTATTATATTTGTTATGCCTCACAATAGTTACAGTTTCAATTATTTGAGGCTCAATCTGTCATTTATCCCCTTATGTTTCCCCTTGATCCCAATTCTATAACTCGTCAAATACCCAACCCCTAATAGGTCAGCAACACACTTGCACCGATTGCTTATGATCAGGTGATCCATCTGCTCATTTGTCGCCTATTAATAGAAAAAATAAATACATAAAAATTCTCAAAGCTAAAAACAAACCATTTTCAAATATAGGGTCACGTGAAAATGGAAGCTGAGAAAGGTGGCAAGTTTGCTCTCTTTGGTGGGAATATTACAGGCGAGTTCAGGGAGCTGGTACCTCCTAAGAAGATAGTCCAGTATTGGCGATACAAACAATGGCCCGACCAGCACTTCTCTGAAGTCACATTTACAATTGACGAGAAAGTAAGTGCCCTAAAAATCTGTGATCCATATTCTCCCTGTACAAAGTAATAGGAAAGAGTTTTGTAACAAAAGCACATTTTATTATATACATATATTGCATTTTTTGTGATTCACTTTTTTACTGTTATTACGCGAATTGTGTTCAATCTATGCATACATACAAAACACATCTCACACTACTCTGGAACTCCTGTTAATAGATATATTTTCTTTATAACTACTTTTTTCTTGGTTCCTTATCTTTTATACACATGAAATAATTTTAAATAGCTTTGGTCGCAATAGATGTTTTATAGCCTACAGCCTTCCTTGACAAATGTAAAATCTAATCTATAATATAAAAATGAATCACAAAATGTGTTGGTAAGCGCATAACTCAATAACGCCTGGATCTAGCTAATTCTTTTTTTGTTGTGTTCGTTATTATAAGGAGAAGGTTTATACGAGAGAAAATTTTAGAAAAGTAAAGGGGTATAGCAGTAATTAATAACCCTTTCAACGCCGTGGCCGTTCCCTTGGAAAACAAATGACTGACACTAGGGCAGTCGGGTACCCGTGCGAAGCAGGGGCGGTCTGCTAGTATCCAATACAAAAAGAATTGTGCGAATTGCACCAGTGGTTCCGGTAATGACTTCAGACTGACTCTTAACTACTATAGTATCAGCATATGTTTAAGTTTCTTGTCACAGAAATTGACCTTACTTTTTTAATACAGACTACAACAGTGCACTACACTTTACCATATTGTAATGAAAAATTCGGTTGTTTGTCCTTCACAACCTGTTTTCAATATTTTCAGGAAGACCACACCCTGGTGACAGTGAAGCAAGACCTGGTTCCTGCTTCTGAAGTAGAACAGACCCGCGACAACTGGCAGCGGTACTACTTCGACAGTATTAAGCGGGCGTTCGGATTCGGAGCGTTCCTGTGATGCGATACACTGATTAGGTAAGTTGATTGTTTAAGAACTCACTTTTTTTGATAGGTCGGCAAACGATCAGCCTCATTACCTGATACAGTAAGCAATTAGCACCCCCCTAGACACCCGCAACAACAGAGTTACGAGTGCGTTCCCGACCTTTTGGGGATTATGAGGTGGCCTGCGTGAGCGACAAACGCGACGCGACGCAACACGGCGCGACATAATGCGACCCGATGCTATACGCGACAAATGTCCTACATGATTTTGGTCATTACTTCTCGAATCATGGAGAAATACAGTACAATTTTGCTTGAAAGTTCATATTTAAAGTACAGACTTAATAAAATATCGTAAAAAGCACAGAAAGAAAACAAATAAAATATTTTTACAAAGAAACACATTTACAAAAACACAAAAATGTAATAGTTTGTGTTATCGCATCTGGTCGCCCCAAAACGTTTTTCGCGTTTCGCCGTAGACTCTCTCGTCGCGTTCGCTGCGTCGCGTCGCGTCAAGCTCGTCGCTCATGCAGGACACCGCGTTTGGGATTGGAGGATTGGGCCTCGGGTAACCTCAAAACAGCTGCATATAAAGCGATAGCTTGATTAAAAAACGTAAATCAAGTTTTTTTTATGTTTTTTACTTGCAATAAACTAGTGCTTGACTGCAATTGATGTCTAATTTATAGCCTATAGAACTCAGGAATATTGTAACTATCTATCAGTTAATGAATTTTTGAAAACCGAAGTGGTTCCAAAGATAACCTCTCTACATCCAAACTTAAAAAATTATACAGGGTGTAAGGGACAGCCTTCCGCAAACTGATAGGGTGGATTCAGTATATCGTCTTAAGTTGACCGGTACATGAAATTATTTCAGGAACGTTATGGGAATCCAATTAAACCGATTTGTTTCATTACCTTACACGCAATGTATCGCTACCACCGCAAACGCACGCAGCGAACGGCAGCGCTTTTAGTATTATTACTTTACACTATGGGCAGCGCCGCGACCTTGCGTTCAGACAAACGGTCGCGCTCGCGCCACGTTTTAATAACAATAAATTATTATTTAAAAGATAGCCGCATTACTTACAAAAGACAATGTAATAATCGCGCTCGCGCCACGTTTTAATAACAATAAATTATTATTTAAAAGATAGCTGCATTACTTACAAAAAAAAATCTAACAATCATAACATGGTAACTGATAAATGATAAAAAAAGAAAAATGCGTAGGTACCTTAGAATCGCTCCGGTTTCCGGCTCTGGAAAGCATTTGTGATGCGGTCTCGCATTTCGTACTCACTTGCACACGCACTCACAAACACTTTTTCTTTTACGTAACCCCACAAAAAGGGGTCCAAATGGGTTAGGTCTGGGGATCGTGCTGGCCACGGTTGCGGTCCAAACCTACCTAAACTACGTTTAAATAGGAAAGCACTGGTAAGTGGTAGCGTCTCCTTACGTTAGCGAACCAATTCCAAAATCCACGTAGGTATTGGTCTTCCGGCGCCTTTTGTCTGGGAACAATGGGCTGGTTTTCTAGCAAGCGTTGATAGTCACCAGTAATTACCCTGGAGTCTGATGGATGCCGACGGTCAGGATACCTACACTAGGTACTACAACACATTATCATCTCCCCATAATCACGCGCGCTAAACGTACTTAGGTAGTAATTTCGCACAATTTCTACAACAAAATTTCACTACACTACATAACTAATAAAACTTAACAACACTACTTATAACAAAACTTTTAAGCCGAATGCCCGAGCGATCCGTGCCGACACACGCTCGCGGTACACAAACAATAACATCGCAGCAAGGCACAATGGCAAGGTAATAATATCTACAAGTATTTCAACTTCATAGAAACGGCCGAAACGCGAACTATACCTACGCGCCCGATGTCGGGACGCGCTCGGGACGCAGACAGACGCGGCTGTACCGCAGTGACGAACGGACGGTGTGTTGTCTTTTATTTAGAAATCAGCTCGAGTACATTATTTAATATGACGAATAGGAATTATTGTGCTGTTATTATGTTTGGTTGAATGAATTCGTCAATAACGCATCCAGACATAAGTTTTTTTTTTAAATTACCTGGAAACTCTGAAAGGTAAGACTATAAAATAATTTTACTTACTAGTAGCCTAGGTAGGTACATAATGTGTGTCTTTATGGATCATTATTTCCAGTTATCTCACGAAAACAATTGTTTGAATTTATAAATAATATGAATAAAGTTATTGAGACGAGTGAAATAGGTAGTTATAGGCGGTTCTGGTTCTGAATGAATCATGATACGTTAGGTACCTACCTACTTACGCTTGTGTTAAAACGGTTCATGTATGTTTTGTTAGTTTGTATAATTCAAAGTAGAGAGTGTGGTATTTTATTATTAATAATATTTGTTTATTATCTGCGTTTATGAATAATACTAGAAAATATTTAATAACAACAATAAAACAGCTAGACTCATGTAATATTTTGATGTTTGAGGGTTGTGATTTTAGAACATTCGTAGTCAGCTGTTCAGTTCGGCATTAGTGGCCAAAGAAATTTTGTTTGTTTATTTTTAAAGCACTTTATTTGTTTATATAAAAATGGATATTTACAATCACAAAACTAAATGGAAACAGAAAGTAGACAAAGGTAATTAAAATACTGGAGACGAGCAGCCCTAACGCATGTTTACGTAACGCGCGGCTGTAGGTATTTATTTCTTTCAAGCGGCCGAGTTACAATACTGTATGATATTTATACTGTGACAATGGCGACTGCATGTGATGAGACACACACAAACATAAATCTGTTGTTGCCAATTACACGAAAATTACAAAATTTCGGGGTAAAAAATAAAAAATTATGCATGGTCGTAATTTATCATTCTGTTATTTTTTGTAGAGAAATGAATTGATTAAATCAATTTAATTCTAATTTCGTTGTTTTGTTAATTTAGAATAATAAAAGTGCAGTGTGATAGAAAGCTGTGCTTCCATTCCAGGGAGATTGTGTTTAATTTCTGGCTCGACTATCAATTCATGGCTATTGTGAAGCCATGTAAAAATCTGTAAGTAGTTTAAAAACTAGCCAGTAATCGCTTAAAAAGAACAATCAATTAATAAATTAGGTAGTATTTGTAAATGCTTTAAAATTAAAACTAGACTAATCTTTATTTATTTCTTATTCAATTTATGTGCGCGACAAGATTTTCATTAATTGATTAATGAAAATCTCATCAACGTAATTATGAATGCAAAGGAGTTCTCAAGTTTTAGATAAATTTCGCTAGTTCTAACATTTTCGTTTACTACCTGAGGTAACAAAAGTTAAAAATTGGCAACACTGGTTCAATCGGGCAAACATTGTGCAAAGAATCGGGGAGACGGGGAGACGCGGAGGCGGGGCGATAGAAAGGGACGCAGCTATTCTGTACGTTGGACGGGATCGTAGGTATTATACCTACGGCGCGCGGCGCGGCGATCGGCGCGGTGGGGCGCCGAGCCGCTGCGCCGTGACCGCGGTGCGGTGAGTTCAAACGACTCGCGCTAGGTAGAAATTGAACAGCTGATTTCATGCGTAGTTCTTTAGAGAATTCACACAACCATTGCGCATTTTTTTGTTTTAGCTGTGTTATTTACATTAATGTTATTCTTCATACATAGAATGTAATTATACATTGAAATAGAGGTGTAGCAACTGAAAAACCGAAAAAAAAAATTGAAAATTTTCCTGAAAGAATTTTCACTGGAATATGATTCAGAATAAGGAGCTGAATGCACCCTGTTAATTTGTGGAGGGCTGTCCCTTACACCCTGTATAGTATAGATTAATATAATATTTTTCAAATTTTCTTATGTTATATTTCTTCTTTTCAGGTTGAATTTTAACAGTAAAGCGGTTCTGTTGAAGATAGCACCCGAAAACGACAAGTTTTGTATAATGCAAGATTTCATTTTATGTAAATTTTGTAATGAAACTGTGATGAATAACTTATTATGCCGGTTCGTGAATGCGCTGCCGTGGATATGAATTCAAGGATTGTTATTAGAACAAATAGTCTAATTAATTTTAACTTCCCGTCGAGTCTCGAGGTAGTTTGTGAGAAAATGGCGCTAGTTTCGTTAATGGTCACCTTATTATAGAGCAGAGCATTTCAAGAGCAGGAGAAGGAACGGGGGTATTTTTAGTTAGCAAGAGTGACACTCCCTCCCGCACGACCTTGGGCGGGAGAAGCCACTTGACCTGACCATTTACCCTCACAAAAAAATATGGCTGGTTTTAAGTGGGTTTTGAATTGATCATAGTCTAACTTCTAGAACTAAAATTGTATTGATGTGTTGAAATTGAAAAAGTATGCAAATATACTTATAAAATAAAAATTGCACTACATAGTATGTTTAGCATTGAAATATCATTTCTTTGTTGTTTTCTGGGCGGCGCTGATCGATTACCACCAAGCTGTGCTTGCTTCTTTGCGCTATATGCCAAATTAAGAAACAAATTGTGCTTATAAAAACGTTCTTCAGACATTAATGTTTTGATTATCCATATTAACTAAAGCAAATTAAGTTTTGAAGGTTTAGAAAATCAGGTTATGGAAAGTTTCATTATCGTAAATTCTTATTGCAAGCCTATGCTAACACAATTTTCAACTTTAAAACTATGTGTTTTATGATTTAAATTTGTATGAACAGTCTTAAAATTGCTGCTTTCTTGATTGGGGTTTTGAATCTTGTGAAGGAAATTTTGAAAAAGGAAACAACTGCTTATTTGAACAACGTTTCGCTTAAGGCTTGTTCCTTATTGCAATGGGGTTACGACACATATTTGAGGTATATGAAAGTAAAAGAATGATTATATGCAATGCTTTGTTCCTCACTAAACGAATTTCAAAGCAAATAGCGCTTTGTATGGCAGACATACAGTTTAAAATCGAATGCAGTAGCTTGCTAGTTACTAATATATGAATGTTATCCAAATAATTAAGTAAATAAATATACAATTGTTGAGGTAAATGATTTCTGATGACTTAAGTTGTACTGCCATTTGTCTACCTCGTTTAGTGGCCTATGAAATAATTAACTTAACTTGAGAGTCGTCATTCTTCCCTATAGTCATTATCAACCGACTTTTAATAAATAGTAGTTGTGTGTTTTGTACTTACAAGTCTGTGTTGATAATCTTGGCGGCTGAGTAGCAATATAAAGTACATTATTCTTTAAATAATGGAAAATGCAATATTTTTTATGTCAACTAGTCATTTATGTATTTACTAGCTTTTGCCCGCGTGGATTAGTGACTTCCTGCAGATTTGGGTTGGTTAAAAACTATCCTATGTCCTTTCTCGAGTTCCAAACTATGTCTGTACCAAGTTTCTCACAAATAGTTCAGTAGTTTAGGCGTGAAGAAAAGACAGACTGATAGAGTTACTTTCGCATTTATATTATTAGTTTGGATATGCATTAAATGTGATTTCAGATTTTTGGCCATCAACTTTTATTGAATTTGAAATTCAATCGGCAAAAGTTACTAATGAATTTTCAATTTTTGCTATACATAGGTGGCGCTCCTATCGTTTAAAGCCCAGTGTCAATTCAGCTGCCAAGATTATTGATGCAGAAATGTCAATCTAGCCTTGAATTCACGTCCATAATAACTAGTAAACAAATAATAAGGATCTTATAAGCTAAAACTATAATAAGTTTGCGCCTAGAACATCTAAATTTCGTCGTCAACACAGATAAATAGACTTTAGTACATGAAAGTACGGAAATTTTTACACATTCAAATAAAATACTTACTCTATGTACTTGTAATATTGTTTTTAGGTAATAAGCATTCTGGCTTTGTAGTCTTATACACGTAGGCCGTATATTGACATAATCAAAGAAACCTCTAGCTATATTCCATTGGATTTAGGAAGATCTATAAGTACATAGAACTCTTTAATGACATTAAAATTTCATGTTTTACGTTATGTATAAATATTTTTTGAACATGACTAGTTTGTTTAAAAATCAGATTTATATAGCTTAATTCCCACGCACGCAATTCTGTAAACATTTGAATAAAAAGACTGAACTACATCAATTGGTAAGCGCAAGCGCATATAGCTGTCTCTTTCTGTCTAACCTATATTTAAGCAACAGAAAGAGAACGCACTTGTTGGTATAGTTCGGTCTCTTTCACATTGTATATCTATCTGTGTTCCCGAATCAATGTTCTTTGCTTATTTCTGTAAGTAGCTGATTTGCGATCTTTTTTTAATTTATGGGATTTGATTCACCAATAAATTATGTTAGATAGAATGTTGTTGTTTTATTTATGTTTTTTACCTTAAAAAATTACGTAAGGCAATTTGTGTCACTTTATGGTGCTATTGTAAGGTGTGATCCTACCCGTAGTCGCTGTTGCAGTGAAAAATTCTGTATCTGACGCCATGGTTTGACTCTAAAATTCTTTATTGGACCAATAGAATCTTGCACTTTGTGAGTACCACACAGAGGCCGCCGTGTCCTTAGGGAAGTGATCAGTGGCGGCCTTTCGCGCCCGGCCTTAGCCGAGGCCATGGTGCGGAGCGAGAGGAACAGGGAAGCCTCGAAAGTAGAGCGCCTCATGCTCCAGCCATCACAGTAGCCAGCACTCCAGGCGTTGGGGATCGAGAGATGCTCTATGGCCACCACAAGCGAGGGTCCGCGGACGGCGTGTGTAAGGGTAGCCCAACCAGAACCAGACCCGAGCGTACGGCGCGTAGCCATACAAGCCTCAAAGAGCCAAAAAAAAAAACATCACAGACGGGGCTCTATAGGGCTGATTTTGAGCCGGGGTTGCGCACCAAGCGCAATAAGGCAATAAATAAATTTACCAACATCTGGCGTTTTTGTTTGACTGTTCTGAAAGTTTGTATGTTTTAGGTTCTCTACTATTCCGAGCGTACGACGCGTAGCGTTCTGCGCACCTCAAAGAGCAATTAGACCACCAAAAATGGGTCCTAATAGGGCAGATGTTCAGTCGGGGTTGCGGGCCAAGCGCACTAATTTACCGCAGCCTCGACCTGGTGCAGAACCTCTCGCCTCACCTTAAAGGGAGTCTCCTCTTAAAAAAACCTCCAAAAATTGGAAGGTTATGGAAGATTGCGCTTGATTTTAGAGAATAAAATAAAAAATTATGTTGACGTTTGGCCACTAAATCGCCTCATGATAAGCGATGATGTAGCAACCTATTCCTTAAGGTATCTCAAATTTAACATTCAAAATCATTCTCCCATTTTTAAAGAAGGTCTTTTTCCCATCATGGACGACGTGGGCTTTACTTCCCAGTCAAATAAGACGTAGCCACGTGCCAAACAAATAAGATGTCCTCGTTTATAACAACGCAAAATACACATTATCACGTATCAAGTCATGACCCGAGATACAAGCGGCGAATTTATCATATTGTAGCACTCAGTTATTCTTGAACCTTCTGTTAAATATGAAGTCTATGTGGTTACTTTGGATATTTGCGGTTTTACCAACGGTATGTACATATCTATGACATTTTGAACCTGATTTTTCATGTAAAAAATGTAATTGATGGTTGTACCTAATTTCTTTTTTGATAGTTCTGTTCTGGTCTATTGGTCTCCTCTAGATAATCGTTTGCTAATACGTAATTAATTTAAATGACAGAAGAGGGCGCTGCTCTTTGCTCGGTTTCTGCAAATTCTGTTAATTAGTCCACTCTTTCACCTGCTTAACACGTTAAGCGCTATGGGGGTCACCGGTGCCCTCCGTTAACGTAGGATTTGCCTTCAACAGTTTTCTGTCGGCAGTCAAAGGCTTAAGGGTATAACTGAATAGGATATGCTTATTTCGTTATCTAGTTTTAGGGAGACATATTAGCTAGGGACTATTTCTATTTAATACGTAGATGATTAATTGAGATGACAGAAGAGGGCGCTGCTTTTTGGCACTTGTAGAATGGGTTTATTAGTCTGAAGTCGTTTTCTGGTTTTACAGAGACTTATATCTAAATACTAGTACCATCTAGATACTAACCAAAAGGTTCCTTGTCTTGGAAAGAGCAGATACCTATTTTCGAGATTTGTTTTCAAATCACCCAATAATATATATAGTCACAATTTTAATTCGATTCCTGATTAGACATGACCTACTGTCATTTTGTGAAATAATGATACCACATATAACAGTGTAGTGATGAACACCAAAATCGATAAACAATCATTGAATCAGTTTCAGGAAGGCATTCAAAAAATTACGGCTTCCGAATAGTCTAAATGCGTATCCCATGTTGTCAAAGAAGAGGAAAAAATGAGTAAACTAGATATTATAGTTATAGTATTTTTCAAATTAAACGTTTCCCAAAAAGTATTCTCTATCCAAAAAATGGCAAGTTTTTCAAATCTCCCTACCAAATAGATACTATATTTAAGTAGTTGATGGACAGCGTAGGTAATAGCGAGTTTTAATTTAAAAGTTCAAAAATTTAATGTCTAAAATATTATTCCGCTTTAGCATTCAAACAATTTTTCTATAATCCTTTACAGGTTTTTGGACTATTTGGATTCGGAAAATCGTATTTGGGGGATTCTCGTTTGGTAAGTACCTACGTAGTTATATTTTCAATTGGTAATTATTTTTAACTAAGAGTTGTTTTATCAACGGTGTCCCAAACTTCACGGTACGCGTGGTGATAAGGGAATCGATTGATTACCATTAGTGATCCGTCTTTTTGTGTCCTTATACCTACCAAAGAAAAAAGGTAGGAAGATAGGTATTTCTTCTTTTTCACTATGAAACTTTTTAGTTAGATATATACTTCATATAACTATATACATATAATGCGCGGATAGTCACTCTGATAGTTATATTTAGATGAAGTTTGGAACTCCAAAAATGTTTAAAAAAAACAATTTAATCAGTAAATACTTATTCGTCCAAATGAGTATTATGATAACTAATTGACCGAAAAACAAGAACATTATTGTAAACATGTAATGACACGCTTATAAAAATGTTCTTGCTTTTTTAAATTGTGTCTAATTGTGTTAGACGGTCATGATACTGCTTCAGTTTCTCATAAATAGGAAGCCATGTCTCTAAGTACTTGTAGTAGTTTCAAGCATTTCCTTTTTCTATTGTCTAACCACCTTTCTTATTTGTTATTCGGGGTTGTGGATGCAAACGCTATAATATACCTACCGGAGCAAGAGAAAAACAGGATGCATTTTAATCACAGAGAATTTTGAAATAACATTCTGACACACCCTCTCGCCCGGGCGGGAGAAGGCATTGGATAATTTTTCCTTCTCAAAAAAAATCCGTCCCATTAGTCACATCGCCTCAAAACAATTTAATGAATATCTACTTAAACTGTTCTCAAATGAGGATTTTGTTCCAAAAACAATTGGTAAACATTGGGTTTGGTATTCACGTTAGTAAGACGTCAGCGCTTGCATCAATTCTAAAAATGATCATCATATTATTATCCTATCATGGGATAGGTCGGCAAACGACTTCTATGGACACCCGCATCACCAAAAGAGTTACGAGTGTGTTGCCGATCTTTTAGGCATAAGGGTTTCGGATATGTTAGGGATGGGAGGAGGGGTAGGGATTGGACCTGTCTACCTTTAAACTAATCTCAAATAAGGATATGGTTCAGAAAACCATTGGGTTTACTTTATCCACTATATTCACCTACCTACTCTTAGTACTTAGACGTCACCGCTTCTAACGATGCCAAAAATCCTCATTTGCTCTGCTTTACATTTACAGTGTCGCCAATGGAACTGCATCAACACAAAGCTGGGCTTTGAAGATTCTTTGCCACCCAAGCATGAGAGTGTAGCAGTTCTGCGCCAATTACTTCCCCAAGGACCATGGCAGGATGTTGTGGAGAACGTTGTGGAGTATTGTTACGAGAACAGGAGCCGAAGGTTTACCAACACTTGTCCTGGACAGGCCTTGATGCACTGTTTTGTAGATCAAATGATTGATGTGAGTTTTATGATTTTTTCTGTTTTTTTTTTTATTATTATCTTGCCCAGGCTATGATTTTCTCCGAGTGGTCCAAGTTTACAAACATACAATTTCAAACGGTTAGATAAAAAAATACCTGGGGAATAATTTTGATGATACGCTGTCGCGTCAGAACGTTTATATAAGACAGTGACAGCAACAATTTTATTCCTTAGATAACATTTATCTGAATGTTGGATAATCAGCCCTTATTAAAGTAAATACGTCATGTCTATCTTCTTTTCCCTTTTGCTCTTACAGTTTTGTCCTGAGACCAATTTGAGAAAGGATGACTCCTGTTCTTTAGTCACGTCTATAAGCGGATTGAGATATATGTTCTCACAAAGGTACTATTTTTTATATTTAGTTTGTACATTAAAGTCGAAAAATATATCGGTTTTATATTAATACTCCACCAACCATCTAGTTTTCTTTTATTTAACTTTTCGTTTTACCTAAACATGGATAGGTACTGTTAACCAAAAGCTCAGTCGGGTCGAGATTGCGTGTTTAGCGCAATAAGGCACCGCCGCCGCCTCGGCCTAAAGCAGGAGAAGGAACGGGGGGGTTTTTAGTTAGTAAGAGTCTGACACTCCGTCTCGCCTCACCTTAGGCGAGATTTGAATATATGATGATTTTCCCCTCACCAAAAAGTATCTACCCAAAACTATCATATTTTACCAATTAACGGTCTAAAGGTTCGCGGATAGTACAAACATAGTTTAAAAAATGCCTCAAATCGACCTCTCTAGAACCAAAATATATGTATGACAAAACATTTTTTCGACGGGGCTTCCTGTCTGAAAGCGGATTCTTGAATCTTGTTCTAAAACCGTTTTAATTCACTGCCATTTTTATAGTTGACTGACAAAGTTATTATACTTTCAGTCGCTACACAGATTTGGAGAAGAATTTGCCAAGAGAACGTCGTCCGGCTTGGTTTTTGAAAAACGTAAGTGTTTAATAAAAACGTTGCTTTCTTTAAACGCAGATTTTTAGAAGTTTGTTTTTGGTAACTAATGACATAGTTATGTAGGCCATCTTTGTTTGAAAAAACAGTTTGTTCCTTTTTGCCTTGATAAAGGTAAGTTACGTGATAAAGAATTCATTTTTATTTCATAACACGGTAATTTCCTTAGTCCAAAAAATAAAATATTTCGAAGTTTCAATACATTATTGTTAGGTATATCAACTTAATATTCAGAAGAATGCTATTTGATGTTATAATATTATGACATCATAAGTAGCTATTTTTTTTAGGAACATTCAACTACCTAGTTGGAAGCTACCGCATCTAGAATGCTACTATTATTATGTATGTATTTGCATTTTACTAAAGTGTGTATACTTATAAGATTTTTCAACAGTATTTTGACAAGAACTGCTGCGATTTGCCTGTGATATTCAATACGACGGTTCTTGAAGAGTGCGGCTTCAGTTCTGTAATGAACTACATCGACCATGGTCTAAAACAACCTTACCCACCTTCTGAAACTGTAACGGTAAGACCTTAAAAAGAACTTAAAAAACTATAACGGCATTAGCTTTTCCTGCCTTTTATACCTCTTTGTAATAACAATAATAATTAGGTCACAAATTTCTTTACCACTCTCAGATTGTGTTTCCAACTTTTCAGCTGTTACCATTGACTACTCCTGGCCCGATCACAACTACCGACTCTGGCGATACACTCAAAATTGTTGATTTGAACACAATTCAAGAAACTTCTACAAGTGTAAGAATGTTGTTTATATTACTTATTTAACTTAATATCAAGATATCTTTTTAAAACGCATGCTCTTAATTACTTGCTACAAATACCAAGACAAGAACCGAAAGGGTTTTTTTGAAGATGAAAATTATCCTTTTGTGTCCCGCCTTGGGCAAGGCGCGAGGGAGTGTGACTCTTACTGACTAAAATTACCCCGTTGCTTTTTCTGCTCCAGGCTGGGTACCCCAGCATATAGTATATTACATTTGCACCCGCAAACCTCGATCAACCGAAAGCAGTATTAGTGAGGCAATTTTTTTTTCTAAAAAACGTTGCCCCATACTTGGATTTGCTCCCGTGTCGTGCATGCCTTTATGTTGCGTTTATCTCTACACTAGATCATCAGGCGATCCATCTACAATAAGCAGCTTATCTCAAAAAACCTAGAATCTATTTGGAACTTCTGGATAACAGCACCATATTTCTTACTCATTTTTGTCAAGTATTTGGTTATAAGAGCGTATTCTATTTTTCAGGCAACTATAGATCCAATGGAATGTTGTGACATGGAGGGCTTTATTAAGGCTTCATGGAAATCGGAGTGCAATTTCCATTTGCAGTGGGGTGGTAAAGAGAGGTTAGTTGTCTCTCAGCCACCAGCTACTGAACCTCCTACGACCACGACTGAGCGGACTGAAGCTGTACAGGATATAATGCTGGTGCCGCATTCCGTGAGTATCTACTAGTTTACTGCTTTCATCCACCTTGATTCGTAATCCTTAGTGCTAGCCATCATACTCGCTTTTCCATACATACTTTTGATCTGTTTCGTATTCTGGTCTCCAGCGAACTAAAATGTACAATTTTGGAACTGAATTTGAGCACATATTTTTATGGGATGCTTGGGTATTAAGTTGAATTATGGATGGAGGAGGGATATGGGGAAGGATTGGGTGCTCGTTAGCCTAATTTACACGGCAAAGCACAACGCTGTGTTGGTTTTCTGTGAGGCAAAAGTATCATTCCGGTCGAGCTGACGCATTCGTCCTGAAACTTGACTTTTACACACTTGGTATCAATCTGGTCGAGTCGATCCATTCTTACTGTAACTTAGCTCTCCTCCTACACTTAAATTAATATTATCCTATCCTATTGTAATATTATTATTCTTTTATGCAAAAACTACTGAACAGATTTAGACCAAAGGCACAGAACTACTTTCAAATCAAACAGCTAGCAGAATCTGCCATTACCATAATATTTTAACCAATTTCAGTGCGAAAAGGAGACCTGCGTTTTCCGTAACCTTGGAATCGTAAAGGGAACGGAGTTTAATACTACAGCGTTCTTATTGGAGGTGCTTACAAACTTCACGCACTCTCATCCAGCTTGGGGACATTCTGTCAGCGAAGTGATGACCAAGTGTCTGGATACGAATAACAGAGGACATAGCAGCGACTGTCCTGTCAACGATGTTTTGGCTTGTACGTTTGATGTGCTCACTGAGGTTGGTGGATTTATTTTTTGTTTTTTATGTGATAGGACGGCCATTAAAAGAATCTTCGGATAACCTGATGGTAAACTACCGGCGCTGCCTATGGACAATCGCTATAGTAGAGGACCAAGGAGTGCGTTGCCGCTCTTATGGCGTTTAGGGATTGATAGGGAAGATGAATTGGGCTTCCCGGTAATCTTACTCACACGGAGAATTACAACGCTATGGTTGTTTCGCACCGGTATTCTTCGAAGCCGTGGTATCTGTCGAGTCTACCCGAACGTGTCGAAGCATAGTTATCCCTACTTGATTACACTTAGATAGTATTTAGTTTTCCACAAAGCGTGGTTGTATACCTACTGGTCGTATTCCTCTGTGACGACTTAGAAGTTAGGTTCAAAAATATATAAACTTATATATTTAAACCCCAAACCCAAGCCATTAGGCCAGTCTAAAGTACTAATTAATGAATAAAAATACGTGTAGGTTTTTATCCCAATTTTTTTTATTTGTAAAGAACAATGTGTTGTGTATACATTATTAATTAATTATTTTACACTTTCCACAGAACTGCCCATATAAGAGGAAATCGGGAGTTTGCAAGTAAGTGCCTAAAGAGTGTACCGATTTATTATTTTTAAAATAAATTTGTACTTATGTTTTGTATTATATTATTTTTCAGACACGGCAAACACGATGTTCCATGCCAAATAAGTTCTTCAAAATACCGACCTGTAAGTGTACACTTAAATTATTTCTAAATAATATAAAACATTTTATAAATTAATTAAAAAATATGACTTACTCACGTGAATTAATAGAGAATAGCTCGACTAGTTTCAAGCCACAACGGGACTCTTATTCATGAGCAGCGTGCACGTCGCGGCGACGTGAACCAGACGACAGGTCATTGGTCGACTAGTAGAGAATTTCTAAGTTAATTAACAGGAGTTAAGTCGTTATTTTCAACATGAAATTAAACAGTTTATAAGTTGAAAAAATTTTTTAGCGACACGAGACACTTTTTGCCAAGATAACTCAACTAGTTTCAAGCCACAATAGGGGCTCATATTTATGAGCAACATTGCGAAACGAGTTCGGTGCGCGACGTTTGCTACGTAGTGTGTTGGACACAACATAAATGATATCTCATGCAATTTCTTTGAGGCCGCCGTACTCTGATCGAACCGGCCCATGGCTGCCGAAGCATGGCTCTCCCACGAGAATTTTACCTTCTATATCGTAGCTTTAAAGTTCAATTTCCTTTGCAGAAGAACCGTCGTGAGATATGTCTTCTGCCGGAGTTGGTACATCATGACTACCTGTACGGGTGTGGTCTCGACGCCATATACAAGGTGGAGCACGTGGCTGTGCCTGTTAGGCGAAAGAAACATGTGTACCCGAGCATATGGCAAAACGTATGTTATTATTTCATATTTATTTTTAAAACACCCACAAGCCTTCTTTCTTGTCATGAGGGTCCAAATAAAGTTACAAACCTGGAGCAACAATTTGTTAAAATTCTTTCAATTTTTGGTTGCTAAAGTTGTTGTGTATGTAATGTGCAGTGAAAAGTGGGTCTAGCCTTCTAAATTTTAAATAAAAAAGAAATTTTCAACGCCGATATTGAAACTGAAATTTCAGTCAAAGTATCTAGATCTAGATTTGCTTTTGATAGATACTTCATAAAGCTAAGGATTGAGATTAGAGTGCCTTTTTTAACGGAATTAGATTAGATTAGAGCCCCTAGTGCGGATTGCCTTTACGTTAGCACGATCGAAACTTTAGTGACGTTATGCGCTAGATTAATGAACTCGTTTTTTATATATTATTTAGCCATTGTTACCTTTCATCTCATTAACGATTAATCATGCATTGTCTCAAATTGCAGTGCAAACAATTACAAACACAAACAACATGTGTTATGGATAAATTGGGGATTCTAAACAGATATAAATTCATGGACTACTTTAGGATGAAGGAAAAAATCAGAGAATTTACTGAAGACAAACCTGAATGGTCGGCCATGATGGATATCTATACGACAGCCTTCATTAGCCTGCCGATGTACTCCGATCATTGTAATTCGGAGAGAAAGCTGCTGAACGTGATTGATGCCATGCTGATGGTAAGATTTTAGTAAAATTATTACTTTACACTGATGGGACTAGTCCAAAACAATTTTTATAATGACCTCTATTGACGTCCGAGCAATAGGTCGCGAAATATTTGCAAAAAACAGATTTTCGTGACCTTTTGACCTCTGTAATTTTTTTAGCCGACACGATATCGATGTCGATTTTCCACAACTTCATAATAACGCCGTAATAAAGGTGTATACAAAAATTCAGCTCACTAGGAATTTTTCCCCAGATTGGGGTATAAAATGCCTAAAATGACTGGACTAGACAACGTTTAATAACTCGATACTACGGTCTGAATACACGAAAAAGGTGACGTCACTGTCCCGTTACGCTTATTGTCGCGTTCCGCAAGCGAGAGCGCGGTATGAAAGAGAGAGAGAGGCATGCTTAGCTCAATGCTGTCCGTGATAATGTATGACGTTGACTACCGTCTGTAAACTGACTTTTAAGGCACTGTTTTTTATGTTCTGGTTTAGTGTAATTCCCACAGTGGCACTGTTTTATGGTTTATTATTAAGTAGCTGCGAATGGAACGTTTGAACTCTTTTAACAGACAGGTCCTTTGTATTGTAGGTAGTTAGAAGTGACAGTTTCCTTTACGTAAACACAATCGAAACATTAAGGCGTTTGGCTCTCTGATTGGTTGTTAACTTGGAGCTCGGCCAATCAGAGCTACGAACGTCATAAGCGTATCGATTGCCTCAAAGAATACTTGCACAAAGCATGTTAACGATAAAACGACTTCTTTAAATATTTTAGTTTTTCTGAAATAAAATATTTATTTTTTTCCCATCAGACATGCCCAATATCGAAACGAAAAAATACACCGCAATGCAACTCAATCTTCATGGAAATGATTAAAGCAACTCCAGCGGACAAGCAAAATTTGACGAAAGAAAAAACCGACGAAGTTATGAAGCACTACCACCACGTGTTTATGCCTACACGACCACGACCTTCCAGATTCGACGTCGCTATACGAAAGAAGCACACTAAACACGTCACGCCTGCATTTCAATTTGGAATTCTTGATTCAAAAAATGCTCCTCCCGTGCGAGTGACTTATGTTAAACCTCCTTTGATTAAAGTAAGACCATTGATTCTTCAGCCAGTGTATTTAAGGCCTAGCAGTTTTATACACGGTCGCGTGAGTGATGGTGTTTTTAGAAACAATCCTTTTTGGCTTCACGACCAAATACTCAAAGGTCAAATGTCAACTACTACGACTAGAGCTCCCATAGTTTCTACCTCTTCGAGTCCCGTACTGTCAACGACGCTTCCTTATTCAAAACCTTTGATCGAATTCCCAACTGAAGATAATATGGATTTGGGGAAACCTGAATAGTGTTTTCTGGATTAAGTAAATGTTGTATTGTATCATATAAATAAAAAAAAATAAGACTTTTGGTTTTTTTTTTTATGAAACTGAAGTTTTTTTCTTTTATATTGTTTACCAAACATAAAAGAAAAGGCAAGCGAGATATTGTATATTATTTGAAGATGACTATTCTTTATTTACACTGACATACTGTGAAGGAAATCATCATTGTGGTGAAACCTGGACTTATAATTTATAAAAAGTTTGAAATCGCTAATCCACCTTGAGCAAGCGTACTGAGACTTTCTCCGTGTGAGAAGAGGCCTTTGCTCAGCACTAATAGGCTGATAATGTGATTCTTTATTTAAATTTGGAAATTATACAATGTATGCCAGTTATTCATTGTGTAAATGAGATTAGTAAATTTCGTGTAACAAGAAAATATTTTTAAAAGCAAGTTTTTTTATTGATAATTCTATTTACACTAATATTATAAAGGTAGGTAGAAAAGGAGGTAAAATTTGTAAGTTTGTAAGCAGGGGGTAATCTTAGGAACCGCTGGTCGGATTGCCAAAATTCTTTCACTGAGAGATACTGGCTATAAAATATCACGCTACGATCAAATGGAGCCGAGCAGCGGGTGAAACCGCGCAAGAGTATTTAGTATAATATAATTTGATTATAAAAAAGGGTGTTCAAAAAAAAAAAAACAAATTGAAGCCATATGAAAAAGATATTTAATACAATCATAATATGTACTGTCTGAGTAACTATTGTACTTAACATATCATTTCTTAAAATACTATATCATAGCATAAGTAGGTGTCTGTTACAAAGATAATTTCCACCAATATTTTGTCCTCAGTCTTAATAAATTTTATACAATTTTGTCCAGACTACATTTTAATATTTTCCTTCCCGTAAAATTCATGACTGCCATATAAGTTTTCGTATTGTTTTTCCTTTATAACTATTTTTTTAATTTATAATTTGATATTCACTCGCTAATATTTCGGCTATGCACTTTAAAGAATTCAAAAGTAATAAATAAAATTATTTAAAAAAACTACTAATTTATAACGTAAATCACTCTTTTTATATAGATATACATTCAACACAAACAAATAAATCCACAACGTACATATTTCATCACTTCTTTTTTCTCATACATTTTTAACTCACTCGAAGATTTTTAAATAAATTATAATTAATTAATATAATTAGTTAGCAAGAAAATGGGCACATGAGTTTTACTCAAATGTATGTAGATTAAAAATTAACAAAAAAAAAAGAAATTGCAAAATTCCAAATAAAGTTTAGGCACCGATAGTAAAAATAAGAAAAAAATTAAAGCATTTTAGTAAAAAAAAAACATGGCAAGCAATAATGATTGATATTTTGTAAAAAAGATTATAATATTCGAGGTTATAATTATATTGCATATATATCAAGATGCTGTACATTGTCAAATACTTATATCATAGTAGGATCAATTACAATATTTACATTTATTACCATTACATAGTAAAAGAAAACATGTCATTAAAAAAACGTTATCTACACACTGAAAAATCAAGTAAAATTTAATTAAAAGGAATATATCAACCAATTTTGATCACTACATTTGTTGATTTTAAATATAAAATACACTGTTTATATTGTATAACTAAATACCATGCATATTTTATACAAATTAGATTATTTATTTAAAGCCGAAAACTCAAACAACAAACGTTTTGAAATTACGTATATCGAAAACTAAATAAACTTTACATCTTGCAAAAAATTAAGTCATGTTTCTTTCTCAAATATATTGTAGTTTATTAAAGTAATATGTAATCACTACTTAATTGCTAATATGAATAACGATAGAAAAAAAACTGCAACAATACATTTACAATTAAAGAAAAAATCCATTCGTAAAATACAGAAACTAACAATAATCAAGTAACTCCATTCTTTTATACAGATACAATAATAACTGGAGTGGCAACATCAGTATGAAAAAGGGATAGATGTATACAGAATACGCTCTGTCCCGTTTTCTCAAAAAAGACTTCTTCAAAGACACTCCATTAAAGAGTTCGATCGTTCGTTTCCATAGATAGTATTTACAAGCATAATAATTCGATTCAAAGAATTATTACGTGAAATATATCAATCAAGTCAAAATATGGTGTCAAAAGCCAGAGCCATTTACAATGCCGAGCCACAAATATAACAAAAATTACGTTCTATCTATTTTTGTACATAAAACTTTGTATAATGGTGCACACATTTGTAATTTCATTATGGCATATTCAGGCTGATTGTGTCGAAATTCCTCATAGATCGAGTATCACCGTTGAGACTGTGGGACCCTGTATTGATCCTTGTTAAAATTTCTTGTTGGAGCGCTTTTAGTGTTCGCATGGCGGAGAGATCATTGCTCGGAGCGAGTAGTAATGCTCTTCTGGCATGAGGGAGAGCTTCTGAAGGCTTGTTCAGGGCGAGAATGGCTCGAGCCATCGCGTAGGCGCACTCAAACGCGTTGGGACGCAAGCCAGAGGCACGTGCGGCGAGGTCTAAAGCTTCTGACGGTTCCTGGAAAATAATAATGACAATATTAACAACAATGAAAAATAACAACAACGATGATGGTGATGTGATATTTTAATATGTCTTACGAGAGTCATTACACTAAAATATAATGGGACTAAATCCTCATAACATTTAAAATGGACGGAGTCAAAAAAGCAAGTATTACTATTTATTCCCAAGACTGGAAATACTTCTCAAGTTATTATTATTTCGGGGGACATTTTATTTTATTCCATCAAATTTCCAGAATGTTTTATTTTCAAGCATTTAAAGTAATGGACCTCTACAAAGATACTTACATTCAGTTTCCTCTTGCATCGTGACAAGTTCAGCAGTAAATTCGTCTTCAACTGCACGAAAGCTGACACATGTTCATGAGGCACTGGTTGAGTGGTTGGAGTCGTTAACCCTTCATCACTGATCAATGGGTTTATCTTCTTCAGCGCATACTGGTAGCGGTGAGCAGCTTCTGAAGGTCGGTTCTTACGGTACAGCATGTTCCCGTCTTCTAATAACTTGTTCAGCAGTATTAGCCTGGGAAACAATGTTTAATTGGTTTTAGGACATCATCGCATTTTTTTTAAACGAAATTTGAATAGTTTTAGCTAGACGTTATGAATTCTGGAACTCATGAAAATCATTAAAAGTAAAATTACCAATTAATTTTATATTGTTTACTTACATGAATTCTGGTTTGCCTGAAGCCATAACCCACGTGGTCGGACCGAGCTTAGCGCCTTTTCTCAGGAAACAATTGACGACCTGTTGAAAGCAATCGATTAGTTTAGACATTGTTTTTGCCATACCATGTAGACTGGACAGGTTGAGTTTTTCAAGTAAACAATCAAAGGAATTTGGTACAATATTTCGAATGTGTCGATGAACTGTTGAACAATCATTTAAATTCTCATCATTATTGTAGCCATTTTTATTTTTACTATCCAATACATTTTTAACGTATTACTTACGGGAACATTCCGTTGTCCAATGGCTCTGTCGAGCGGCCTTAGGCCACTGTGATCAACTCTTTCCAACGAGGCTCCTCTCTCGAGCAGGATATCAACGAGGTCTGATGGTCCTCCGCAGGCAAGACCCAAAGGTGTACGACCACTACCGTCAGGTTGATCTGCAAATCAATAGTAATGATTATTTGATGATCTGAAATATTGTAGAAGTATCTGCTCTTCAACAGTGGCAGATTCTTATCCTTGAATTTAGATTTTGACGATGTCTGAAATCATGTTCAAAGCGTTTTACCTATTGTAGCTCCTTTGTCAAGTAGAACTATCATTGTGGGCAATCTGGATCTAAGGCACGCCCAACCGAGAGCAGATATTCCATCACCATCGACAGCGTCTGGGTCAGCACCTAAGACAAAACAAAATTACGTTATAATTGTAATTAGGATTGCAAAAAGATTATTTTAATTTTTAAATTTCTATATATTTTTTTATCAATCGGTTTGACAATTTCTCTTTGTATATTATTTGACTTGAATTCACTTATATTTAATGTAATCTATATAATGTAATGTAATTTTATGGATTTTTATTATCTGAAATAAATTGAATTGAATTGATAAGACATTAGCCGAAAGCGATGATTGCACCATAACTTACCATGATTTAATAACATCTCTACAACATCAGCATGACCCTCCGCCGCTGCTAATATCAATGGAATCTTTCCACCAGAGCCCATCACATCAGCTCCTGAATCTAGGAGCCTTAGTACTAACGCTGTTCTGCCATTCTTGGCTGCAAGTGCTAGTGGTGATAGCTGTCGGGCGTTTAGAGAATATGGTGTAGCTCCTCTGATGAGGAGAGCATCAGCGATTGCAGCATTGCCTGATGAACAGGCTGCTGTGAGAGCTGTTTCTCCTGTCACTGGGCATATACCGTCAGGCTGAAAAAAAAAAACAGTTGCTGTTGTAGACATTTTGATAAAGCAAGTATTTGGGAAAAAAAATGAATCCTAGTTACGAAGGAAGCAGCAGTTTGAAGACTATTATTGCCATATTCCCACTTTCGAAAAACATCACAATACTACACTTACAATTAATTCAGCAGTGTCCAAAAGATATTCAACAATATCCAAATGTCCATTCTGGGCAGCTGCTATTAAGGCGTGGCGCGATCCTGGTACTAGTTGTTCAATGCTTCCATAATCAGTGTCTAGAGAATTTCTATCGTTGCCTGCTTGACAACCTAGCAGGTAAATTATTGTATCTCTGTGGCCATTTTTAGCTGCGTGAACTAGAGGAGTCTGTTCTGCTGTATCTGTATGACTAAGTGATGCACCTGAAAGAATAAAAACATGGTCAAATAATAATTTCAATAGCCCCAACAAATAAAAGTTGACTTTAGTATTACAGTAAAAGGTCATTAAATTACCTGCAGCTATAAGTCTTCTCGCAACATCAGTATGTCCTCTTTGACAAGCTAAAGATAAAGCTGTACAACCTTGCGAGTTGGTCATT